AATTCTAAAGCATTAAAATAACCCAGTCAGCCCATGAACATTCTTCAACAGACGAGTCACATACTGTCACGTTGCTCTCATAAGACTTATAAATGACATACAGTACTGTCACCTCGTGGATAAGTGACACACAAACGAGTGACAGCTTTCATCATCACCTGTTAACAATAATGTTGATCAAACATTTACAGACCTCAGTTAGTGCTTCTAAATTTAGCCTATAAATTTAGCAAGTGCTAATCCACTAGTAAATGTTAAAATTAGCAGAATCCCTAAAGCACTAATCAGAAAATTTGTTCCTCTATTAGTGCTTTAGGGGAACTGTGCCCACCACTGCACTTTACTTTAGACACAGAACATTATCCCAGTTGCCATTTCTTTTACATTTCAAAGCATGTGAACTTTAAAAAATGATAACTGTAGATGCACTGAGCGACAGATTTAATCAATAGCTTTAGAAGTATATTCATTTGTTTGTGTTAAACTAGATGTAAATTCAATGTGGAAGACTCTCTCCAGCCTCACCTGCTGCATCACGGGCTTCCACCACAGCTCTTCAGAATCGGACAAGTCTCCATAGACAAGATCCCCATCCAAGGCTCCTCCTGCCCACCTGCTGAGCTTCAACCCACATCCTCCAAATAAAGCTCACAAACAAACCAGGTGGTCAAAAACAAAACAAGCCATAACATGAAGACCACCATTACAGATGCAGAGCTACGATGAAGATGTAACACTCAGAAGTAAACAGGAAGTAAACAGAAATTAAACCTTACAGAATAAACAGGAAGTGAAGTTAAACAAGGCAGCTTTATCCGAACAAAGAACCTGGAAACAGAAATAGAAATAAATTTTTACTGGAATAATTCAGCAAATCTTGAATAGTTGAGCATCTTTTTGTTTTATTCTGTGAAACACATGAAGATTTGTTTTAAATTAAATGCTTTCATGCATAAACTTATATTCACTTGTAATTAGCCACGACACTGAGGTTGTGTTATTGGCAAGCTGTAAATGTTTCTTTGACCTCTAATTTCTAATTATGGTGTGGTGGGAACACATCTAGTCTAGTTTCATTTCAGTAGGCCTGATAAAGCAGTTTGTTGTGTTTTTGTATTACATGCAGAGGTGAGAAGAAATGTCAACAGCTCAGTGTTTTTAAAGGCAATATTCAAGGTTCATTTTTGAACTGAGTAAATCTTGACTGAAGCTTATTAAACAAAATAGGGTCCAAATTTGTTGAGTTATTACTGAAAATATAAAATCTTAAAGATTCAACTAAAAGTTACTAGAATGCATGAGGGCCAGACAGTTTCAGAATAAATAGTAAACACATTTTACACTGTGAAAAATTTCATAAATCAGAGGCAAAGCCAACTTGTATTGTTTAATAATTTGTGCTAAACTGTAGCATGGTTCAGCAACATGCTACAGTTTGTAATATATGCTACAGAATAATTAACAGTGATTACATTGGCTTTGGAAGCTTATTTTAATATCAAACTGTTACATTATTAACTTGAAGTCAGATCACATTACACTGAGGTAAATAAGAAATAATCTGCTAACTTGTGAAATGAGACTTTTTTTCATTTATCCTCTGCTGTAATCTGTTCCCCACCTATTTTTGATTGATAAATTCCAGGTCAAATAATCAAGGGTGTAGTAACTATATCCCTTAAGGTCCTGATGCATCTCAGTAATCCAGGTAGAAAAAAAATCAAAAAGAAAAAAGAAGTAGGTCCTCTGGATGGGTTCTTCTTTAGTGAAATGTTTCGTCTCTCCTCCAAGAGACTTCTTCAGTCTGATGAGTTTCAGGTGAACTCAGCCTTATACTGTAAGCATTGCCTCCACATGGACAAACAGGTTAGTCATATGCAAAAGAGGGCCATCGACTAACAATAGGCTTGATTAGCTCTATTGTTCATAGAGGGTCATGTGCCCCATCACCTGACTATCATTGGGGCCCTGATTCACACCTTTTGCTCACCGGGGGCTGAGTCATACTTGCAATAACAGCGTTGTAGGAGGAGGACAACTGGACACGAAGGCCTCCACCTCTGTTTAATGGTGGACAATTTTTTTCACAAAAATAGCTTCCTTTACTCCTCTCAAACCAAAGTTCCTCTCTATCAAGGATGAGAACATCTTCATCCCTGAAAGAGTGACCGCTGGCCTGTAAATGAGTGTACACAGCAGAGTCCTGACCCGACGATGTAGCTCGTCTGTGTTGGCTCATTCTTTTGAACAGTGGCTGTTTTGTTTCCCCAATGTATAACTGATCCAGTTAGAGATAAGATAAGATCCAGCTCCCCAGCAAAAACAGAGTAATATAGTATATGCTGTTAAGTGTCAGGAAGACTGTGATCAGTGATCCAATGTTTCAGAACCCACAGTGTGGTCCAGATCCCAACTTTGGGATTAGATAGATTATACTCCAATAAATTAATAGCATTTCTGTGTATTTTTTCATTAACAATTTTTAAAATTTTTACGTATCAGCTCTGATTGTTTAAATTTAGACTTGACATTTTAAATGCAATTTTCAGCAGAGTTAGCAGCATTAGCAGAATGATAATAATGCTGTTAGCATTAACACTGCTAACTCGAACGCTGCTAACAATGGCATTCAAATTTTAAATTCAAAATGTGTTCATGTTGAACAATAAGGATGGTTTGATTTGCAGCCCTGACACCGGCCGCAACTGCAAGTTTAGTGTCTTGTAGGGAAGTGTTAGCAGCGTTGCTATTGTCTCAGGATGATGACATCATAAGAAGATCCCAGCACCAACAGCAAAAGCTGTGATCCATTCTGAAAAACTTAAATGTAAACTTCAACTTTTAGCAACAACATTTAAGATTTAACTTTAACATTTAGATTTACATGTAGTCATGTTTGACTAGGATTTTGCACTCAGAAAGTGAGCTAAATAATGAAAATGGTAAAATGATAAGTATATTTTGAGCATTTTCTTTTACACATGGCGCCTCATGACTACTATTTTGCCAAAATGATAAATTCAGAAGCTTGCCCTCTATGGTTGCTACAGTGAGTCACGTGACCCAAACACACTCCAGCTGTAATGTAACAAAGAAACAAAACAGCTTTGTGCAGTTCTGAAGAAGGAAGTGTTGGAGAGATGTTTAAAATAAGATTGCCAGCTCGTGCCTTAAATCCAGTCTCATTCTATTTGCCCAAACAGTACATGACTCCATGAAGGCCTTAACATCAGCACAGTCATGAAGGTGAGTCGTAAAGTAGTTAAAAAAAATAAAAATCCCCTTTAGTTTTGGCTCAACAGAAGTAAATTCATCAAGGTGGACCAATTTTTTAAAGGTAATACTTTTCTAAACGTTACATAAAATAGAATTTCAAATAACCCACCCATTAAGCAGCACCAGTCATAACATGATTCATGTGTAGTCAGTGGCACTATGAGATAGCTAAACCAAACAGTTTAGTAAAAGAGCTTTTATGAATAAATTGCTTACTTGCTATGTTGCATATTTGTTTCCTGTCTGAGTGAGAATCTGTCCAAATGTGTGACTCTGTTCAGCAGTGCCAGCCTTCTCAGCTCTCAGCCAAACCAGAGTCTCTCCACATGTATGAATCCCAGAATTCAGGGCTCCGCTTCCCATATTCCTGAATCCTGTTCAGACACTTTGACCAGACACATCTGTCAAAATGACGTCAGACTTCCACAGCTTACAACCAACAAATCAAACTGCTCCCACACGATCATTAATCTGTGTTCTGAAACAGGAAATGAGATGAGATGGAGTTAAAGACTGCAGCTTGTGTTAAAAACAGGGTGGAAATACTGACCAGAGGAAAAAGGACAGAGGTTTAATAAAACACAGCTGCTTCTGGAGACACCCAAGCATTTATAAGTCCATGATGGCCAAACAAACACACATGGGCAGACACTGATATTAAAGCAAGATGATCAAAACATGAAGGCTTTTAAGTAAGTGCCTCTTTGGACCAACATGTCTAGAAACATCAGCAGTTAATAAAGAACAGGGAGCCAGACCAGACTCTTATTTTTTTCCCCACATTAGTTTCTTTTTGTTCAAAGTAGTGAATACATTTTGGAACTGATTAATTGAATATTAGATTCAGTTTTGTATTTTATACTTTCTGATCATTACAGCTTTAAGGCCATAATAAAATAAGAGTAGATGTGTATGTTATCATGTGTTCTTTCTCTTAGCCTAAACAAAACTGAGTGACGTTCTGACGTCTGACGTAAAAGGTAACACCTCTGGGGTGTAACCAGGAAGGGACGAACATTATAAGCTTAATTCATTATTATAGTAAAAGAAAGAAGTTGTCAGTGTTTTGCAGAGTGTCTGCTCAGAGCAGAGCTCCCGTGTTTGTTTTGATTCAGCCCAAGGTTGTACGCTGAGGCCTGTGCTGCTGAGCGCTGAATGAACCTGATTGGAGTCAGAAGATCAAAAATAAAGTTTTAAAGAAGAAATCCAACTGAATCCTGTTTATTCGGACATACGATTTGGAATAACGCATATTTTTCCAACAGTAGCTTGAAATATTTTATTTGGCTCTTGTTGAATCAAACATGCAACACATTCTTCACACCCACATACTCAACTCACTTACAAAGGATCAGGGACAAACCCAAATACTCAAAATGCCTTTAAGGATTAGATCACTTGCAAGAACCCATGAAAGGTTCAGTAGATTTTAAAGGTCAAAATGGGTGTACAAAGTCATCTTTTAGCTTCATCTTTACATAAAAACAAAACATCTTACTAAGTGTAAGATGTGGTGTGGGGAGTTTGCACATCATCGGAAGTATCACTTATATGTCATATGGCTCTGCAGGAAGAAAAGACTGCAGGGTCCATTTAGGAGCTCATAAAAGGACAATAAAGATGGATTATTGAACTTCTGATAAGCAGCAAACAAACAGATCTTTAAAGCTTTTGCTACAGCCTGCACACTCAGAAACACTGTCAGCAGGTTCAACCATTCTCCTGTAAATAAAACCAGTTTGACATTTATTATTGCAACCCAGTTCATTTTTCTGCAGCTTTTACAAATGACAGCAGCAACAGATTGTTCATGGCGCTGTCCATCTTTGATCCTCAGCAGAGAAACAGCACGTTTCTGTCTGCTTTGTGCGCTCTTTGTTCTCTACATGCTGGCTGGTGCTGCTGTGTTTTCTTCCTTGGAGCGGCCCGCAGAGCTGAAGGCTCACCGGCTCTGGAAAATGAGAATGAGGACCTTTAGTAAGGAGAATAATATTAGTCAGGAGGAGCTGAGATCTCTGTTGCATCACTATGACGAGGCCAGAGCTGCAGGCGTGCACTCAGAGAGAGGCAGAGCTCTGTGGGATTTTCCTGGAGCATTCTACTTTGTGGGAACTGTGGTCTCCACTATCGGTGAGTTCTTGAATCGAAGGCAAATGTTATGATTTAAATCGAAACCGTGTAAACATTAATTTAACTACATAAAGTCATTATTGTAGTATCACAAACCAACACACATAGTGTGTTTTTACAAGGACTTTGCATTGACTTCTATTCATTGTTCAATCATCTCTATATTCTAACCCTGCACGCCCAATTCACACCTGATAGGGCCCGGGCTTTATGCCTCATTTATTCAAGTTCAAGAACCTGTACTATCCCAGAGGAGTAAAAAAAATATTCATACTACACCAGACATAAAAATGCTCAACTAACAGTACAAAATGTTCACCATTGTTTGTTGTGAAATCTGATTATTGCAGGGATAAATGAGATTTTATCTAATAGTCCCCCTATACATTTAGACAATGGATTGGAAATCGGAAGCAGTGGGATCCCACAAAAGAATGTTTTTTTTGAAAAATGTGCCTTACAATTTAGCAAATTCTGGAACACACACACACACACACACACACACACACACACACACACACACACNCACACACACACACACACACACACACACACACACACACACACACACACACACACACACACACATTAGACAGGATGCCCCGATGCATGCATTTAAATATTCCAGGTAGAAAAATCTAAAAATAAAATTTGATAGGTTTCTTTTTTCTTTGCTAAAGAAGAACTCGTCCAGAGGACCTACTCGCCTTTTTTTAGATTAGACATTAGACAGCATATGTAAATCATAATGGAATTAAAAGATTGTAATACGAAAAATTAATAATAATAATAATAATAATAATAATAATAATAATAAATTTTATTTGTAATGCACTTTACATTTGATACCAAACCTCAAAGTGATCAAAATCAACAAAACATCAGTGAAAAAACAAATATAAAAATATTTTAAAAAGAACAAATGAAACATACATGGATAGGCTTTAATCAGTATAAGCTTTCTAAAAGAGGAAATTTTAAGTCCTTTCTTGAAGGTATCAATCTGTGGAGATCTAAGATAATCTGGAAAGGCATTCCAGAGATGGAGAGCTGCAGCCACAAACACTCTGTCACCCATAGCCTTGTCCTGGGGAGAACCAGACCTATTCCTCGTGGATGTTTGGGGTGTGAGCAGCTCTGAGAGATAAGCGGGTGCCGCACCGTACCGACAGTGATGGGATCGTTTACTCTATCCGGAAGTAGGGAGCCAGTATTATGTGTATGAGATGGGGGTGGTGTGCTCGTATTTCCACACCCTCATCAGGATCCTGGCAGCACTGTTGTGAACATACTGCTTTTGGAGACTCTTGCCAGGAACTCCACTGAGGACTGAATTACAATAGACTACCCTGGAGGAGATACAGGCATGGGTGCGCTTCTCCGCTGTAGGAAGGGAAAGGGAAGGGCGTAGCTTGGAAATGTGATGGAGGTGAAAAAAAAAAAATGAAATTTTGCAAATAGAGGTGATGTGATTGTCAAAGGTAAGCTGGAGGTCAAACTGAATCCCCAGAGTATTCACAAAGGGAGAAAGGGGAATGACATGGCCAAGGAATGAGAGTGAAGAAATTTAAAGCTACAAAAGACTAAAACACGTTGATAATCAATTTAGGTTCATCAGTTTTATCTGCCTCTGGATTTCCTTTGGGAAATCTGCCAATGTGGAACCGGAGAGTCAAACTGATCCAAGTCTGAATTAATTTCCTTTACAAAAATGTTTGGATTCCCAGGCTATAAATGCTTTATGGCTTAATGACACACCCGGGATCTGTTTTTTTTTTTACACAAAAGACAAACGTCAAAGACCAGTTTCCCCAAAATACATTTGAACCCAGTCAGTCATCCGCTTCGTTTCCTTCCTTCTTTTATAAAACTGTTCCAAAACATTTTTTTAAACTGTGTTTTGATTCAAGGCGAGAGTATCAAATCGTGTGATTGTTTATTTTGGTGATGGTGAACTTTGTACAGTGTATTTGAACTGAGGAAGCAAACAAACATGGGGCTGCAAAGGGGAATCTTTTCTAATCTTGGCTGTGTGGAGTCTACACGTTCTCCTGGTCCATGTACAAGTTCTGATGCTGTACTCTTCTTTAAACAGGTTACATCGATTGAGTGACTTCAGGTGTGTACCTGGTGTGTCTGTGTTGGTCCTTTATGACCTGTCCTCATGCTGACTCTGAACCAGCCAAAGCAGATCCAACAAACAAATGAAATGGTGGATAAATAAAACTGCATAATTTTTCCCGATGGTTTTCTCGAGATAAAGAGATGATTGGTGTGTGTTTAAACTTGATTCCATCCTTCAAATGCACYTCTTAGCAGCAGCAGAGGACTTAGAAAGGTAAGTAGCATGTATGAGCAATTCTGTTAACAGTGAAGTCTGAAGCGTTGATCAATGCCAAGTTCTCCATGATCGWATGTTTTCAGCGTCTGTTCGTGGTAAAGTTTTGAGAACACTGAGAAACAGATCATGAACATTCAAGAAAATATATTCACCTCATTATCTCGAGAAAATGGTTATCCTTATTGTGTGATAACGACATAAATATCTTGTTATATTGGGAAAAAACACATGAGTGTGACCACTCTCAGCTTTCATACAAAACAATCAAAAAAAATTTCTTTAAATGAACATTTCTTACAATGTATTAATCAGATCAGTTTTGAATGAGTCATCGTGGTGAGTTTATAACATTCTGCTGTGACCAAACAGAAATAAAGATSCTGTTGGACATCAAAGCTCCAACACGTTCCATAGAGCTGACTGTAAAAAAAAAAATYACCTCGTCAGAATGACATCTGCAATTTATGGTTTTTGGGCAAGAAACAACCCAGGGTMTAGGCAGCTTCAAAAAGTTAAAATAGCAGCACAGACGCTGATCATAAGACTGCAAGTATTTCTCATTACGCCTCAATAAAATGTAAACAGTTTGACAGGATAGAGTGGGTGAAACCACAGGAAGAATCCACTGAATGAGTCCTAACGCAGGAAAAGGCGTGCACACATGACATACTTTCCAATCCCAGAGGAGGAATTGTTTGTTTAATCTGGTACAAGAAAAGGAATAAAGTGGGAGAAACAACCTCTGACGATGTGTAATTTGGACAGGTGACAAAAATATTGTGAACACACACACACACACACACACACACACACACA